TTTCTGACATTATTTAAAACATTAGATAGATTGTATAAACTGTAAAATGTTAATAATAATTGGGTTAATATTATTATTAATAGTTTTTATGATTTCTACATCGTCAGTCCTTTTTAATGATAAATCCAGACTCTTGACTGTTTAGCGTTAGCCGTTAGCTTCACCTGCCGATCACACGCTCACCTGGTTTCTGAGCTCCAGCTGTTCTATAGGACCTCCTTGCTCCCACCCCAAAAGCCAAATGTTGAAGCTGAACTGAAACCTGCAGCTGTTCACATGGACAAAACAAATGTTCCCTAAGACAGATTTAAAGATCCAGTTATTTGGACACATTGTAAAGTTTGGTTGTTTTATCATTCAACCCCAGAAAAAGAAACAGTAGAAATAAATCATTAAAGACCTAAATGAATCTGACGCTCATGCTCTCAATGAGAGGATGAAAAGTTCTGACCTTTATCCTGCAGCTGAAACATTACACTGCACCATGAAGTACACATCTGAATATAATTTACAGGAGTACCACAGTAATCAGATCAACCTGTGGATCTAATGGAAAACATTAAAACATACTGAAATGTCATTTTTACAAAGATTAAAGCACAAGGTGGTACTGCAGCAGTGCAGAAACATGAAACTGTAAAAAAACAGGAAATACTCAGCTGCATTGCAGCTTTAGTACCACAGTAGTACTACAGTAGAACTACAGTAGAACAGCTTGAAGTACCTGCTACTTTGTCCCGGATCAATTTGGCCGACTCCACTTCTCCGACGCTGCTGAACAGACTCCTCAGCTCGTCCTGACTCATGCTCTGAGGAAGGTAGTTCACGATCAGGTTGGTTCGGGAGTCTTCGTCCTCCATCATCTCCTCCGTGAACCCGTTATCGTACAGTTCCTGAGGACATGACATCATTCATTACATCATCGACTACATGTCACATGACCTCCACGACAGAGTCACATCTGAAAAACATGGCTTTTAGAAAAAAACTACAGAAATATTGACATTTGTGGTAAAACGAAGTTATTTTCTTGGGTCTGAATAAGTGTGGTAAAATGAAAGAGCCAATCAGAAGTCACCTTTGCAGCAGCTCCTGTGGAGGTGAGTTGGGAGTCTCTGATGTCACTCTGAGATGGTTGGACCTCACACACCTAAAACACACAAACACAGAGACTCAGTGTGTTTATCAAGATAAAGAACAAACCAATCAGGAAGCTTGAGTTCCTCCACTTAGGGTTTTGGAGAAGTGGTGGAGGGGAAACTGGCACCACGCCGGCCTCTGCCTCTTCTTCTTTCCTTTTTTTAATTACTCTATAGAACAACACGCACCAACAGTACATCTGGGGGTGGGGGTGTGGGTGTCAGGGTCTTTATTCCCATCCTGTTCCCCGACTGCCATTTGGGGAGGGGGTCGTGACAAAAGGCGGACCGCCGGGC